AAATTTCCAATGATGTCGCTGCAGTTTTAAAAGATTGAAACAATATTAAAATTTCTTTTAAAAATGTTAAGTCGATTAAAAGCCAACTATCACATACTAAGGATGAAATCGAGTTGCTACACAAAAGTGGTACCTATAGATTAAGCTGTAACGACTGTAAAACGTCTTAATATAGGAAAAACTGAGAGAAGACTCAACATACGAGCTGGTGAACACATTAGATATCCAGATAAGTCTACTCTCGGACATCATATTAAATTCAACAATCATAACTTCACTCCTGAGAGTGTTACTGTTCTTCATCATATTTTTAATTGTAACTTTAAACTAAATCTGCTCGAAGACCTTGAGATATACAGAGAGTTTAATAAAACAAATGTCACATGTGTTAACACTCAAATCCATCTCAATAGCAAAGTGCCTCCTCCCTTTAAAAGAATTGGCAACGGTTGGTCTGAAGTTACCTAGTCAGCTTCGCCTTGAATCTTCTTGCAGCGGAATTGATCTCTTGTCCGGCGATTGCTGATTTCGTGACCAGGACGGTTTTTCCTCTACTTTTAGATGGAAAATCTGGTCTGCCTATGACTTGGTTTCGCTGTGGCCTCAATTCTGTTGTTTTCAGCTTGGCACCTTTTTAATTTTTATTTTTTTTTTAATTTTACCTTTATTTACTGTATATTTTATAATTCTATTTAATTCATTGTAATCTTTTGCTATTTAAAATTTAAGTCCCGCCATAACTTGATCTTGCTTGCTCAGTGGTACCAACCCACTTTTATCATTTTTAATATCAACCTTTAACAATTTTTCACGAAATTCATTTCAATTTCAAGTTGGTATTTTTCTTGACAACTTCATTGTCAAATTTCAATTGTCACTCATTATGTTTTGGTACATTGTCAAGATGGTCACGTTTTAAAAAAAATATTTTTTGTACCCCAACTTGCCTTGGCCTCATGGAAGCAATTGGCAAAATTTTGCTGCCTTCATGTGGAAGACTAACAGTTTCTTTTTCTCTGAATTGTTCGAGTGTTTTGTTCTACTTGATCGGATGAACCTCCACTTCATTTGTTAAAATTTAACCACATTTTACACTGGGTCAGTTACCGAATTTCGGTGTGGTTTTTCTATTTTCAATTATCTGAGCTGCAAGCTATGGTGGAGACTTGGGACTGGTGTGTTGCTGTCCTTTATTAATTTAGTTTACTTTCATGTGTCTTCTAAAGTTTTTTTGACGAGTAAGTGTACAAGTTTTTTTATTTTATTTTTTTTTAGTAATGTTGGAGTTGATTATATTATAACAGTTCCGTTTTTTTCTCTTTTATAGAGCCTTTGAAGACGGCTTAAGAGGCCGAAAGCGCTCAGACGAATTTTTTATAGAGTTTTATTGAATAAAACTCAATTTTACAGACTTTAAATACTCTTTCGATTCATTTCTTATTACCCAGTGTGTACACACACTCAACCTCTTCTACAAAATAATAAAATTGATATAAGATTATATAATAAATTAATTAGATTGTATTCGTAAAGAAAAGCATATCAAGGACATACCCCTTAACGAGTTTCGCATACTTGCCAAAACACTTCTTAGAGAACATTGTTTCTACAATTTAATATTTAGATATTGTAATAAAATTGTTTATTAGGACTTTAAATTTACAAATAATAAAGTATGCAAAAGTGGTCAATAAATGTATTGTATTATTATATTTTTCATATATTTCATGGTACTAAATAATTTACAGTGCACCGATATTATTCGCAAATTATCAAAGCACAAATTCGATTCCTACAAATATGTACCAATTTGTATAACAAATATTCAACAAAAATTAAATTTGTTACACGGTAACCAGGAATATATGAATGCATGCAATATTATGTATTTTCACGTTAAAGCTATAAATCAAGCTGTGATTAATATTCCGGACGTACGTTGTCGAAAATATATTTTGAAACACGATTCTATTAATATTCCAAATTTCGCCTTATAATAAATTATTATTAAGGCTTACTTACTCTATGATTCCGATCTGAAAGAAAGAAAGAAAGAAAGAAACACGCGTTTTAAGTTTGGAAATTACTTAATAAATTCGTAATATTTGACTAGATTACCAAACAAATTTTCTAACACCTGATAATTCACAATAATTATAGAAAATATGTTGAAAATCAAGACAAAATTGGTGAATGAGTTTAAAAGGAAAGAAAAAGAATAGGCAGGGTACATTTATGATAAAAATTGACAAATTAATTATGTATGAGAGGGGTTGGATAGAAGAAAAGGAACAAGATAATGATAATAATAATCTAATTAGAGTTTATTGACCTTTTTTGTACAATAGTTACATTGTTACTTAGTCATTACCATAAAACTAGTAAAAATAATAGCTAGGTCAAAATATTAGTTTACAATTTTCGCGACACATTTAACAGATAAATTAAAGTGTAATTAACATTAAAAAAATACGTTCGAAAAGTAGACACTCTAAGCTTTAAAATGGTGTGCATTGAATAACAATATAATGAAATATGAGTTTTTAATTACTGCTTGTTTTAAAGATTTCTAGAACTCCGAAAACGTATGAAAAATGCAAATAAACAAATCAATTTTGTTTTAAAACGCCAGGAAGATACTGGAAAAAAATTTCTGAGATCATTCGAGACATCTCAAGATCCCATTTAAAACAAAAATGGGATAAAAAAACTATTAAAAGAAAAAAATATGAATGAATTACTATAAAGTGGTCCAAAATAGTGGGAAAACGCAACTTTCACCCCTTTTTCAATGTTCTTGACAGGAAATAACGGGCTTCAAGGTACATGGATCGATACCTATTAGTTTTCCCATTGTAATGAACTTTGAATCATCGAAAAATGTCAATTTTTGACCGAGTTCTGAAACAATTTGTCCACCCGTTTACAAGCTAATCAGCATTGCTATAGAGATAAAGCAGGGGCTGAACGAGGGGACTTTTATTTATTTATTTATTTTATTTATTTATTTATTTATACATTGTTCAACAGGTTAAACCCAATTACAGAACAGGAGTACATTTGAAAGAAAACAGTTTAACAAAAGGCATATAGATAATTAATCTAAAATTACAGTAAATAAATTCAAAATTATTTTAAACAATGTGTTTTTATGTTTTTAACACTGCAATTAAATATATCCAACTGTTCACTAATATTATTATAATTATTACACATGTTATATACAGGTGAAAACTTCAGAACGTTTGTCCGAGGAGTCGCTATGTAAAATGATTCAACGTTTCGAGAGGTTGCGCGTGGGATTCTAAAATTAAGCATATGTAAAAGAGCTTCACAATTGATTTTAAAATTAACAACTTTGTAGAGGGTAATTATGGAGAAGTACTTTCGTCTTACGTCGAGACTTGTCAATCTGTGTCTAGTCAGTAAAGCATTTTGAGTAATACCAATCGGTGGATAAATTTGGTCTGCCCGAAAACTTAAGTATTTGAGGAAACGCCTTTGTGTGGACTCTATCCGACAAATGTGTATTTGATAATAAGGATCCCAAATAAACGAGGCATATTCGAGTTTAGATCGAACAAATGAGAAATACAATGATTTAATAGTATCTGTGTTTTTAAAATCACGGCCCACTCGTACTATGAATCCATACATACGATTTGCAGCTGTTGAGATGTTATCTATGTGGTATTTAAACGACAATACTGGGTCAAATGTAACCCCTAAATCCATAAAATTGTTGGGTTTAGAAAGCAAACGTCCATCAAGGACATAATCGAATTTAATTGGATGCGCTTTTAATGTGTATGACATTACGTTACATTTGACGGGATTCAGTGTAAGACCATTTTTGTTGCACCATTCAACAACTTTGTTCAAATTTTCCGACAACTGTTCACAGTCAGAAATATTTTCAATAGCTGAATATATTTTTAAGTCATCAGCATACAGCAAATAATCAACATTTATAGCGTCACCAATGTCGTTGATAAAAATATTAAATAACAGCGGACCCAAATTTGAACCTTGCGGTATACCAGAGGTGGCGCAATATTTGTTAGACTTGAATCCATTTAATTGATCATATTGTGTTCTTTGAGAGAGATACGATTGAAAAAGTGTGATCAAACTATTAGAAAGACCAAATGCGCAGAGTTTCTGTATCATAATATTATGATCAAGTCTATCAAATGCTTTTGTCATATCCGTATAGATGACGTCAGTTTGGACCCGATTATCAATATTTTCAGCTATTTGCTGTGTGATCACAGAAAGATTTGTTACTGTGGAACGCCCTTTAACAAAACCATGTTGCTGAGCTGAGATTGCATTACAAACATGTTGATAAATACTACGTTCCAGTAATATTTCTAGAATTTTGCAGAAATTGCAAATGATAGAAATCGGCCTATAATTTTTGATATCAGTACGTTCACCTTTTTTAAAAATTGGGCAGACTTTAGAACATTTCCACATCGAAGGAATTGTATTGGATTTAAGGCAGATATTTATCAAAATAGTTAGAGGGCGAGCTAATACTGCTGAACAATCTTTTAAAATGAACGCAGGAATATGATCCGGTCCTGTGGTACGTTTAGGTTTAATGTTTTTTAAAGCATCCTGGACCTGGGTTTCAGAAAAATGAGTTATATGAAGCTGAGATGGCTGGACGTCCTTTAATGATATGTTTGAACCCTTGGAAGCGACATAAGATTGTCCAAAATATTCCGCAAAGCTTTCTACTATTTCTGTTGGATTATTTAATGTTTTATTTTCAAAACTCATGGTGCTTGCAACTTTACCTTGGCATTGTTTATTATTAACGTATGCCCAAAATTTATTTGAATTTGCTGAGATTTCAAATTCAAGATTTGCTATGTAATTTTTATAAGCTTCAGATACACAAGTTTTAATTTCAGCTCTGATGAGCTTAAATTCTTGAAGAGCTTGTATATTATTCTCATTCTGATATAAGCGATGAAGTTTAGACTTTTTTCGAAGTTTCTTAATAATAGAACCATTAAACCACGGAGGATATTTTCTTTTATTACTTACAGTATATTTAGGTATACACTGATCTAGTATATTGTATAATTTACCATAAAAGTACGTGCAGGCATCTTCAGCATCATAGAAAACCTCCAAAAAATCCCAATTCACAGTAGATAACATTTCATACAAGAGTGGAAAATTTGCTTTACGAAAATTGTAGCAATTCGTGTAAGAGGATTCAAGATTTTTCTTATATTGCTTTTTTTCGTTTATTCTACAAGTAATTTCTAAAGCCGGATGATATTTATCTTCTTCTACCAAAGGTTCTAAAGATTTTTCAACCAAACAGAAATGTTTATAATACATCAAGTCTAAGAGCTTATTGTAATCATTGAATACAAAGTTATGTTGAATCAAATCTAGAACGTCGGCAAAATTATTTAAGCTATTTAATTTAAGATTAGTTTGAATGTTAGATACATAATCAGGTATGTTAAAATCACCTATCATTATAAATTTACAATCATGTAAAAAATCTAATGTCTCCAGAGAATCAAACAATTGTTCGTATTCACCAAGTGGGGTTTTTGGTGGGATATACAGGTTACATATATATAAGGACGTTAAATTAAGCTTAATTTTTACTAATATTAAATCTATAAAATTAAAATCGGGAAAAGAGTGCTCTTGTACATTAATGTAAGTAGATATAAATTCCTCATGTACCGCGATCAACACCCCACCGCCTCTAGTTGTATCACTCACATCATAATTCCGATCCTTTCTAAAAACATTAAAATCGGACGAAAACAGTTCTGAACTATTTATTGACGATTCCAGCCAAGTTTCTGTTAAGGCAATAATTTTGAATTCAGTTTGGGATATAGAACTAAAAAACTCAGTTGTTTTTGTTCTAAGACCTCGAACATTTTGATAAAGAATTGATATTTTATTTTCCAAATTTATAAGAGGTGACTGTACTCGAGAAGTACCTACCTGGGGTAGCCGAGAACTAGTCAGTGATTGCTAATTTATTTTACTTAAGTTAGATTTCAGCTTATTCAAATTCTCAATGTAAGCGGAGCACTTTTGCCTCTCCCATACCGCATGGTTAATATCAAGAGCTGTATTTTTTAGTTTGACGCAATTGGAGCATTTTTTTGTGCTTGATTTACAATCTTTAAGATCGTGAGCTTCACCGCAAACAGGACAGGAGATGTTTTTTGTGCATCTCTGAGCAGAATGATTAAACTCGTTGCACTTAAAACATCTGTATACTTCCAGTGCGTCATACACAACGCAGCTATCATACGCAACAAACAAATTACCCGAATTTAATGCTCTTTCATATACCGTTTTATCTACCTGTATAATTGCTTGATAAATATTATTATTCTTTTTTGTAGGAAATACTTTTACAATTCTACAGACCGACTCCTCAGAAAAAACGTTACTGTTACAGGAAATAATATACTCATACAATTCCGTTGATGTGAGATTTGCCGTCATGCCTACAATACGGATTTTTTTAAGTACACCGCCAACTTCTTTAACGCTGTACCCTTCTGCCATTTTTTGCTGTACAATAGATTTTACTTTTTCATTGTCAGATTTGCTCTTGCATGCAATTAAGATTCCTCCATCTCTAACAGTTTTTACTTTAGCTAGTTGTATACTTTCCTGACATGGATTAATATTGCGTAAGATATCCGCCTTCGTATGACTGTGAGATTGACTGTCATCCTTGGGCTGTATTATAATGACTGGCTGCGATTTGTCTTTCAAGACGTCTGAGTATCTTAGTTGGTTTTCTGGTGGTTCTGCCTCAGTAATTTTAGCTACTTCTGATTTAATGGATTTTATTTCCTCATGCAACGTATCTAGAGCACCAGTTAACTTATTATCAACCAAATTTTGTATACCAGCGGGATTTAGTAATATGTAATTACTAACACAATCGGAGCATTTCCAGAAGAGCCCCGGTATAGTATTTAACAGATTAACTATATCTGTATTTTTTGTGATACAAACTGAATGGAACTCCTTTTTACATCCGTCGCAAGAAATGGCTGGCCGATTTCGGCTTACCGGATTCGAACATGAAGCACGGTTAACCATATTGGAAAAAAATATCAACCATACCTGTGTGTGATTTCGATAATATTTATGCACAAGAAGTTAGATACACTTTCAATGATACACTTAACGAGATTTCAAAATTTTATCAGTACTATTTCTAATAGAAAAAGCTGTATACTTAAACACGATGTGAAGCGTGTAACGGCTATTTAATTACGGTTATCTCGAAACCTGTCGAATTCCCGATAAAAATGATAGGGACCATTTTTGTAGATAATGATAAGATCTTTCTTTTTTATCTAAACAAAAATTGTGGAAGATATTGGCGGGAAACCAGTTTTAGGGTCAATTTTTGGCCCTTTCCGATGCAGCAGAGTTGGTAAAAGTTTTCGCCCTTGAAAGCAACCGTCAAGACCTAAGAATTGAGCCACAAAGGAAATCTGGACCGACTTAATGACAGCTTTGCATATTTTCAGGTCTTCAGTTACTGGTCTATACTGAGGTACAACGTTATTAGCGCCCCAGTGTTAAAGGAATGAGCGTGAGAATTTTTTTGAAATACACTAATTTTTTTGTGTATTTCCAGTAAACTTTCAAATATAGTGTTGGCAAGGGCATTATGTTGACCTTATTAAAAAGAGGTTGACAATGAGTAGTGTAAATGTATACTAGCTAAGATGCATAGAGCTTGCTTCTAAAAGCTAAAAACACTATTGGAGTGAATAGCATAATAATATTCCATAGCTAATATGACTATAAATAATTTAAATATAGACAGTAGGAAGTACCACAATATTCAGAAAGGAAATTTGTGTCGACATTTTCCTACAGATTTGACCATGTTGTTTCCTATCTAGGGATCCACAAAGGCTCCGCGATAATACTAGTTATAATAATAAAAAAAAAACACTAAAGGAGTACTATAAGGTTGCAGAGTAAAATAAAAATTTAATTAAAACATTAGTAATGGCTATTTGATATTTCTGTTAATTTGAAAGACAGTGCGATAGAACTTGGTTTGTCATAATTAGGCATTCCAAACAAAATGGCTACCCGTTTTAAATGACAGGCACATGATAGGTTATAAGGCAACACTATGGGCCTGGTGGTTTGACAGAGTCAATGATATAGTTAGTTATATAGATTGATCATCTATCTTCTTAAAAATGAACATCAGCTCATGCCTTGAAGTAAATATGTAAGTAAATATATTTTTTAATATATTCAAAGGCTGGAAATTGGTTTTAAAACATATTTTTGCTACGGCGTCGTGCTCAAATTTAGTCTTCATGCGATATGGCCATCATATCCACTCTTGTTGCACAAACTACTATTATCATTACAAAGTAAACAACCAACAGTGTTTAACGCTAGTAACAAAATAAGCGCTTTCAGGAGAAACTTAGATTTTTGGATTATTTGTGTTGGTACAAGAACAAAATGAAAATGAATTCTTGGATTCAAAACCTTTTGTACCCAATTTGCTATAGCCCGAAAGCATGTCAAACGAGATTTATGAATCATTTTTAGAAATGACATCAGATGAAACACGGGTTATTGCTAGACATACAGTAACAAAAATTTGGCAAGATACCTCCATCAAAATTAAAAAACAGGCTTTTATGGAAGGGGTCTCTTGTGAATTATAAAATCTAACAGGAAAATGAAATATTAACCCACATTGGAAGCACCTATGGATTTTTTCCAGATGGTTTATTATTGTTCGAGTCAACAAAAACAAAAGACTTTTATGAAGAAATGGTCCAAATAAAGACCTGATGGGAAACTGCTTACCAAAATCATCACAGCGGCATGCAATAAAATAATGCAATAGTGCCAAAATAAGAAGCCTGTCTACTGGTGGACAGAACAGGTAGCGGAGAAAAGGAAAATATGTACACAAGCCATGACTAGGGCAAACAAAAACAACAATTCAAACATAAAGAAAGAAAGATACCGAGAAAATAGGACCATCCTAAAGAAAGCTATCGCGGAATCTAAAAAGAATGCATAGAAGAAACTGGTGCAAGAAGTGGACCTGGATGTATGGGGTAAAGGGTATAAAATTGTCATAGACAAATACAAAGGAAACGCTCCGATAACCTTAGATGACGTGTAACAAATATTAGTGGCACATGAGTTATTCTCGACGTACCTGAGAAAAGAATGCCAGTAAAGGAACAAGACATACCTTCCTTCATAAAGGACAAACTGCTAGAAGCGAGTGATAAGTTAAAGGAGAAGAAATCCCCAGGTCCTGATGGCATACCTGCAGAGGTAGTTAAAAACCACACAAGATACATTCTAGATATTTTTAATAGATGTTGGCTGAAAGGAACGTTCCCTAAGAATGGAAAGTAGCAAAATTAATACTTCTGGAAAAACATAAAACAGAACAAATGAACAGAACTATCTGTAACCTAAGTGTATTGGCAAAATTGATGGAGCATCTTCTCCTAGGAAGGCTGAACTGGTAGCTAGAAAGAAACGGTGACTTGTCTAGTGAACAATATGGTTTCCGAGAGGACAGACGAACCATGGACGATATGGAAAAAGTTCAGCAAATAGCAGACGAGGCAAATGAGAGAGCAGGCAGAAAAAGATATGCCCTCATTACAATCGATGCTAAAAATGCCTTTAATTCTGCCCCGTGGGATGGAATTCTAGAGTAACTGAGAAACCCAGGTATAACCCCACAAACGTATCTATCTAGAAGACAGGGACAAAAGGAAAAATGAGGAGGATGACGTGTGGGGTACCACAAGCCTCTGTTATAGGACCAATGTTATGGAATGTATACTACGATGGCATCCTAAAACTCCCGATACCACGCGAGGTGAAGCTAGTAGGCTACGCGGACGATGCAAGCGTAGTAGTGACGGGGAAAGACGCGAAAAAACTGCAAACAACGGCAAATGAGGTCCTAGAGAATATTACACAATGGTTGACAGCAAAAAGACTAGCCCAAGCCCCACAAAAAACTGAGATGTTTATCTTGCAGGAGGACGTACCGTCAAGAAAATCAAAGTTAGGGTGCAAGACGTAACAGCAACGAGCCAAAAGGAAGTCATATATCTTGAAGTATATTTTGACCATGACATGAGAATGGGAGAACATATCAGAAATGTGGCTAAAAAAGCGGAAAGGGCCGTAGGAAATATTAGCAGAATTCTATCCAATACTGGAGGACCACAAGAAGGAAACCGGACAATTTGGTGCAACGTAGCTATGTCCATAATTATGGGGCAACGACGTGGAAACGAGCTATGGAAAAAAAATATATAGCAATACTCTTCTAAAAGTTCAAAGAAAAGTAGCAATCAGAATTACCTGCGCATACCAAACAACCTCAACGAATGCATTAATGGTCATTGCCAGAACACCTCCTATCCATTTTTTAGTGGAAGAAAGGTTTATAACAGTCAAAACCATGGAAGCATGATTAAATGTAACGATAACTTTTATTAGGCCGATCAGATGTAATAAAATTTTTATTTTTACTACAAATAAGCAATGAAGGATGAGGTATAAATCAAATATTTACAGCATAAACATGTACTACGTTCTGCAAATTAAATTACTGCACTTCTTCCTTCTCTATACTAGAAATGGGGCTTACAAGCGAGCCCATAGCTAATCTAGTTTTTTGGTGAATATTTCATTGTTGAAAAGTTTGTTAAAGACTTATTATTAGTAAGCTTATAAATTAATTAACTAGTTCAGTTTCTAGTATATTAGAATTAGACAAGTGTCCTTCACCGGGACATATTTGATTTTATTTATTAATTGTATACTGTTTTTTTATACAAATGAATACCATTTTATTTAATATTTTTATAATTTTTTTAAACGCCTCACCCATGTATATAAAACAAATAGAAATGTTTCAGTTTTCTCCACACAATCCTTAAAAAATGGATAATAAAAAATTGTAATTATGATGTATCGACAATAAAAAAAAAAAACATTTTCATAATTTAATATGGTCCATGAATAATTCGTTTAGTCTGAATGGCAATAAATCCAAACCATTTTACAAGTACGAATGTTTTTTATTTGTTGTTCATAAATAATTTTTCCGTTATTTATTGGAAGCAATTTAACAAATAATCTGAAGTATTTATCGGGCTAATACAGAGTATTATTAATTATTTTAAATTTATATTATACGCTCAAAATAAGATAGATATTATTTGTTTCATTATTTGTGAAGTATTTCTAACAGGTATTCTAAAGGGACTGGTGAACAGTGGAGACTGATCAAAGCACCAGCCCTGAAACATTTTCAAATGACACAAGATATCGTACAAAAAACAATATATATGAACAAATATGATTTTTTTGTTTAAAAACAACACATGAACATTCTAAAATATAGGTAGCTATTACTTTATTGTGCCAAGTAGAACCTCATTATAAGATTTGTTGAACTTTCTTACAGACATTTCTTTAACACGTTTTGGGATATCATTGTACATAGCATAAATAATATAGGTGAAAGACCGTCTGAAATTAACAGCATTATGCATTGGAGGTGAGATACGACCACAAAAACGTAGATTAAGGTAATGAACATCAGAACCATAGAAGAATTATTATTAATTTAATAAATAATTGAAAGTTTGACTAGTCTGTCAAGATCTTCATTAATTTGATTACTGGCTGATCGAAACAAAATGTAATTTGAGTATCATCGGCATAAAATAATGGCTTACCATTCTTAATGCTATTCCCAAAGTTGAAGATATATGGTTAGAATAATAATGTCACAAGTATTGATTCCTAAGGAACTCCACAGGAAATTTGCTTAGTATTTGATGGATCAGTAACTACAATTTGCTTCCAGTTATCAAGGTAGCTATTAAAAAGTTTAATAACATCATTAGATCAACCAATAAAATGTAACATTAAGAATAAATTTGTATGGATAATAGTATCAAATCCTTTGGAATAATCGAGCACAACAAGTGCTGGTGATTTTTTAGAATCAATATCCTTGAAGTGACATGAAGTAGAGCTGTAGCACAGCTATAACCAGAACGAAAACCTGACTGTCGCAGTGA